CAAATCTCGTAGGTAAACCAAAGTGAGATCCACACCAGAGTGGTACGGTAATCCTATTCTCGAAGTCATGTTACTAGACCATGACGAACTTGCGAACTATGAGGAAGCGATGATGAGCCTAGATTCCGCGAAATGGTTTGAGGCCATGAAATCTGAGATATGATCCATGTATGAGAACAAAGTATGGACTTTGATGGATTTGCCCGATGATCGGCAAGCCATAGAAAATAAATGGATCTTCAAGAGGAAGACGGACGCTGATAGTAGTGTTACTATCTACAAAGCTAGAATTGTCGTAAAAGGTTTTCGACAAAGTTCAAGGTGTTGACTACGATGAGGTTTTCTCACTCGAATCTATGCTTAAGTCTGTCTGAATCATGTTAGCAATTGCCGCATTTTATGAAATCTGGCAAATGGATAAACAAAATTGCATTCCTTAATAGATTTATTAAAGAAGAGTTGTATATGATACAACCAGAAGGTTTTGTCAATCCTAAAGGTGTTAACAAAATATGCAAGCTCCAGCGATCCATCTATGGACTGGTGCAAGCATCTCGGAGTTGGAATATACGCTTTGATAAGTTGATCAAAGCATATAAGTTTTATACAGACTTGCGGTGAAGCCTGTATTTACAAGAAAGTGAGTGGGAGCACTACATCATTTCTGATAAGTATATGTGTATGACATATTGTTGATCGGAAATAATGTAGAATTATTCTGCAAAGCATAAAGGAATATTTGAAAGGAGTTTTTCAAAGAAAGACCTCGGTAAAGCTGCTTCATATTGAGTATCAAGGTCTATAGAGATAGATCAAGACGCTTGATAAGTTTTTCAATGAGTACATACTTTGACAAGATTTTGAAGTAGTTCAAAATGGAACAGTCAAAGAAAAAGTTTCTTGCATGTGTTACAAGGTGTGAAGTTGAGTAAGACTCAAAGCCCGACCACGGCAGAAGATAGAAAGAGAATGAAAGTCATTCCCTATGCCTCAGCCATAGGTTCTATAAAGTATGCCATGCTGTGTACCAGATCTAGTGTATACCCTACACTGTGTTAAGCAAGGGAGTACAATAGTGATCTAAGAGTAGATCACTGGACAACGGTCAAAATTATCCTTAGTGGAATAAGGAAATATTTCTCAATTATGGAGGTGACAAAAAGGTTCGTCGTAAAAAGTTACGTTGATGCAAGTTTTGACACAGATCTGGATGACTCTAAGTCTCGATCTAGATACATATTGAAAGTGGGAGCAATAAGCTAGAGTAGCTCCGTGCAGAGCATTGTTGACATAGAAATTCGCAAAATACTTACGGATCTGAATGTGACAGACCCGTTGACTAAAATTATCTCACAAGCAAAACATGATCACACCTTAGTACTCTTTGGATGTTAATCACATAGCGATGTGAACTAGATTATTGACTCTAGTAAACCCTTTGGGTGTTTATCACATATCGATGTGAACTATGGGTGTTAATCACATGGTGATGTGAACTATTGTTGTTAAATCACATGGCGATGTGAACTAGATTATTGACTCTAGTGCAAGTGGGAGACTGAAGGAAATATGCCCTAGAGGCAATAATAAAGTTATTATTTATTTCCTTATATCATGATAAATGTTTATTATTCATGCTAGAATTGTATTAACCGGAAACATAATACATGTGTGAATACATAGACAAACAGAGTGTCACTAGTATGCCTCTACTTGACTAGCTCGTTAATTAAAGATGGTTATGTTTCCTAACCATGAATAATGAGTTGTTATTTGATTAACGGGATCACATCATTAAGAGAATGATCTGATTGACATGACCCATTCCATTAGCTTAGCACCCGATCGTTTAGTATGTTGCTATTGCTTTCTTCATGACTTATACATGTTCCTATAACTATGAGATTATGCAACTCCCGTTTACCGAAGGAACACTTTGGGTACTACCAAACATCACAACGTAACTGGGTGATTATAAAGGAGTACTACAGGTGTCACCAAAGGTACATGTTGGGTTGGCGTATTTCGAGATTATGTTTTGTCACTCCGATTGTCGGAGAGGTATCTCTGGGCCCTCTCGGTAATGCACATCACATAAGCCTTGCAAGCATTGCAACTAATGAGTTAGTTGCGGGATGATGTATTACAGAACGAGTAAAGAGACTTGCCGGTAACGAGATTGAACTAGGTATTGGATACCGACGATCGAATCTCGGGCAAGTAACATACCGATGACAAAGGGAACAACGTATGTTGTTATGCGGTCTGACCGATAAAAATCTTCATAGAATACGTAGGAGCCAATATGGGCATCCAGGTCCCGCTATTGGTTATTGACCGGAAACATGTCTCGGTCATGTCTACATTGTTCTCGAACCCGTAGGGTCCGCACGCTTAAGGTTACGATGACAGTTATATTATGAGTTTATGCATTTTGATGTACCGAAGGTTGTTCGGAGTCCCGGATGTGATCATGGACATGACGAGGAGTCTCGAAATGGTCGAGACGTAAAGATTGATATTGGAAGCCTATGTTTGGATATCGGAAGTGTTCCGGGTGAAATCGGGATTTTACCGGAGTACCGGGAGGTTACCGGACCCCCCCGGGAGCTATATGGGCCTTAGTGGGCTTTAGTGGAAAGGAGAAAGGGGCAGCCCAAGGTGGCTGTGCGTCTCCCCCCTTCCCCTAGTCCTATTAGGACTAGGAGAGGTGGCCTTCCCCCTCTCTCTCTTTTCCCCCTCCGCGAATCCTATTCCAACTAGGATTGGGGGGGGATCCTACTCCAAGAGGGAGTAGGACTCTCCTGGCGCGCCACACCTTGGCCGGCCAGCCTCCCCCCCTCTAGTCCTTTATATACTGAGGCAAAGGCACCCTAGAACACACAAGTTGATCCACGTGATCTATTCCTTAGCCGTGTGTGGTGCCCCAGCCACCATATTCCTCGATAATACTGTAGCAGAGTTTAGGTGAAGCCCTGCTGCTGTAGTGCATCAAGATCGTCACCACGCCGTCGTGCTGACGGAACTCTTCCCCGACACTTTGCTGGATCGGAGTCCGGGGATCGTCATCGAGCTGAACGTGTGCTCGAACTCGGAGGTGCCGTAGTTTCGGTGCTTGATCGGTTGGATCGTGAAGACGTACGACTACTTCCTCTACGTCGTGTCAACGCTTCCGCAGTCGGTCTGCGTGGGTACGTAGACAACACTCTCCCCTCTCGTTTCTATGCATCACATGATCTTGCGTGTGCGTAGGAATTTTTTTGAAATTAGTACGAAACCCAACACTCCCATCCAAAACTGCTCGCCAAATCTGAGAAGGGTGAGTTCCCAATTTAGCTTCCAGTAAAGTAGATTGAGGATAGTAAACAGATTTCAACAATCTAGCACTCAAAGATGTCTCATCTGTCATTAGCCGCCAGGATTGTCTGGCCAAGAGTGCTAAGTTGAATATCTCCGGGTCACGAAACCCCAATCCTCCCAAATGTTTTGGCCTAGTCATCGTATCCCATGCAACCCAGCTAGGCTTCCTCTTTACGTTCTTGCTTCCCCACCAAAACTGCCGTATGATAGAAGTAATATTCTCACATAAACCCCTTGGCAAACGGAAACATGACATGGAGAACACTGGAATAGCTTGTGCAATGGACTTGATCAACACTTCTTTACCAGCAGCTGACAGAAGCTTCTCCATCCACCCTTTAATTTTTTTCCATACACGATCTCTCAAATACTTGAAGGTGCCATTTTTTGAATGTCCTACTTCAGTAGGCATTCCCAAATAGCATTCACTCAAAGACTCATTGTGCACATGCAAAGAATTTTTGATCTCTTCCTTCAAAATTGTGGGGCAGCACTTGCTAAAGAAGATTGAAGATTTATCGTGGTTTATCCTCTGTTCTGATGCATTACAATATGTATCCAACAGGTTTGACACTGCAACTGATCCCTCCACACTAGCCTTGAACAACAACAAGTTGTCATCTGCAAATAACAGGTGGTTTATGGTGGGTGCCGCTGGGGCCACCTTAATACCTGCAATTGATGACTCAGAACTGGATTTCAGGAGGCACGAAAGGCCCTCTGCTGCAATCAAGAATAAGTAAGGGGATATTGGGTCTCCTTGCCGAATACCTCTCGTCGGCTTAAAAGATTCAAGTTTCTCTCCATTGAAAAGGACTGAGAAAGATACTGAAGAAACAAAATCCATAACTGTATTGATCCACTGATGTGAGAATCCCAGCTTAGCCATAATGCCCTTCAGGTATGGCCATTCCAGTCTATCATATGCTTTTATCATATCTAATTTCAAAGCACAGAAACTGTTTGACTTTGATTTTGACTTTTTCATGAAATGCAAACATTCATAAGCACATATGATATTGTCTTTGATAAGTCTTCCAGGAACAAAAGCAGATTGCTCCTCAGAAATTATGTGAGGCAGCACTAACTTAAGTCTGTTGGCCACAACCTTAGAACCAATTTTATATAGAACATTGCTGAGACTTATTGGATGAAGCTGTGATAATAGAGAGGGGCTGATTACCTTTGGTATTAAAACCAAAATTGTATCGTTGATTTCCTCCGGGGTTTCCTCTCCCCGTACAATACGAAGCACAATCCTCGTGACATCCTCACCACAGATATCCCAGTTGCATTGATAGAAATGAGCAGGAAAACCATCAGGACCCGGTGCCTTTGTAGGGAACATCTGGAATAGCGCTGTTTTTACCTTCTAGGCAGTATACTCAGCGTTCAGACTTGCGTCAAGCTGGAAACCTTTACTGGCAGTAAACTTTAGGGGAGCTATTTGAATTAGGCAATCTTACTCGTCAAGCTGGAAACCTCAGCGCAAGCAACATAATAAGCAGAAAGGCCCGGCCCACTGCACTGCCCTCCTTCCTCCGACAGGTGAAAGGAAAAAAAACTCAAACCGAAAGGTCGAGACCACGAGTGCGGCGGCGCTCCACCCACCTGTGCCCTAGTCCGGCCGCCGGCCAGACATGGAGGCGCGCGGTCCTATGCCGAAGAGGACGAAATTTACGGCGCCCCCCTCCGCCCACAACCAACAACCGCCGCCCGGAGCGGGCGAGGATGAAGAAAGCGCCGACCGCATCAGCAACCTCCCCGACGCCATCCTCGGCGAAATCGTCTCCCGCCTCCCCACCAACCAAGGCGCCCGCACCCAGATCCTCGCGCACCGGTGGCGCCACATCTGGAGCTCCGCGCCTCTTAGCATCGACTGCGAGGGCCTCCCCGCCGATAACGAGGTACTCGCCGGCATCTTCTCGCGCACGGTTTCAACGCATCCGCCCCCCTGCCGCCGCTTCTGCGTCCCCTCGTGCTTCCTCGGCGACCGAGCCTCCACGGTGGACAAATGGCTCCGAACCCCCGCCCTGGACAACCTCCAGGAGCTGGAGTTCTGGTTCAAACCGTACTATCGACCGCAGCCGCTGCAGCAGCCGCCACCATCGTCCATGTTCCGCTTCTCGGCCACGCTCTGTGTTGCCACCATCGGAAACTGCAACCTTCCGGACAGCACCGTCCAAGGGCTTCACTTCCCCCTGCTTAAGCAGCTCGGACTTGAACTTGTCAGCATCTCGGAGTGCTCACTGCACAGCTTGATTGCCAGTTGCCCTACTTTGGAGTGCTTGCTGGTTAGCCATGGATTCGGCTTTCGCTGCCTCAGGATCAACTCCCTTACCCTTAGAAGCTTTGCTGTCAAGAACTATCGGAAAGGCAATGACCAGTTAAAGGAACTCATTGTCGAGAATGCACCTTGCCTTCAAAGGTTGCTGCATCTTGATTTTGACTATGGTCTGCATATATCGGTAGTGTCCGCGCCTAAACTGGAGAGCATAGGCTGCCTTTCTGATGGGTTTTACATTTCCAAAGAGGATGATCTCTCCAGACTCGTGTTTGGCTCCACGGTTATTCAGGTACTCGTGTTTGGCCATCCTACTTGTTGCCTTCATGAGGCTTCTCAGTTTTATCTCTGTCTGCAGGAAAAATAACACCATGTGCACTTGTCGTTGGCCTAATTTTGTCTATGATGCTTGATGAAGGGCTTGCGTGTCGATAGACTGACAACGGTGGTGCACACAGTGAAGAATTTAGCTGTCAATATGAAGCTTCTTAGTTTGGATACAATTATCGAGTTGATGCGATGCTTTCCGTGCTTGGAGAAGATGTACATTGAGGTGAAAGTTCTTCATTTATAATTCTTTGCCTTCAAATGCTCATTTGATCTACTTGCTGAACCGAAGTGGTTGGTTTCCATTTGTCCATGTTCTTTTTCAGTCAGAGTCGAAGAAGGAAAAAAGTGTGCGCGGTCGCAGACACCGGAATCTTACCAAATGTCCTAACATCCGTCTAAAGACAATAGTATTTGAATGTTATGAGGGTATTAAGTCTGACATTGAATTTGCTTCATTCTTTGTACTGAACGCTACAGTGCTTGAGTTAATGACACTTCAGATCGGGGCCAGGGATTACAATGAAAAATTCTTGGCAGAACAACGTAGGAAGCTTCAGCTAGAAAACAAGGCTTCAAGAGGTGCTCGGTTTCATTTTACAACTGATAGATGTGCCCGTGGTGTTTGGGATGTGCATCATGTCCGTGACTTGGATTTAACTGATCCATTTGTATGAGTAAAGTGGCTCTTGTCCATTTTGGAATTGTTCTTCAATGTTAACCTATCTCAGTTATTATTCTGGCAAAACTTGATTGCTTTTGGTGTTTGCCGTTGTTGTATGTTTATATTATCTGAAACCTCAAACATTTAAACTAGCTGTTTGTGTCTTATGATATAACATGTGGCAGCCTTGCAATTTATGAAGCACAGGGTAATCTGATTGTAATATTGAGGACTAACTAAGAATGGTAGGGTAGCTACAACTTATTTTGATTTCTGGTGAAAGGAATAGGAAGTTAGAGTTATGGAGACAAACCTTGGAATCGAAAGGGTTTAGGCTTAGTAGAACTAAAATCGAGTACATGATGTGCGGTTTCAGTACTACTAGCTGTGAGGAGGAGGAGGTTAGCCTTGATGGCCATGTGGTACCTCGGAAGGACACCTTTCGGTATTTGGGGTCAATGTTGCAGGAGGATGGGGGTATTGATGAAGATGTGAACCATCGAATCAAAGCCGGATGGATGAAGTGGCGCCAAGCTTCTGGCATTCTCTGTGACAAGAGAGTGCCACAAAAGCTAAAAGGCAAGTTCTACAGGACGGCGGTTCAACCCGCAATGTTGTATGGCGCGGAGTGTTGGCGGACTAAAAGACGACATGTTCAACAGTTAGGTGTGGCGGAGATGCGTATGTTGAGATGGATGTGTGGCCACACGAGGAAGGATCGAGTCCAGAATGATGATATACGAGATAGAGTTGGGGTAGCACCAATTGAGGAGAAACTTGTCCAACATCGTTTGAGATGGTTTGGGCATATTCAGCGCAGGCCTCCAGAAGCTCCAGTGCATAGCGGACGGCTAAAGCGTGCGGAGAATGTCAAGAGAGGGCGGGGTCGACCGATTTTGACATGGGAGGAGTCCGTTAAGAGAGACCTGAAGGATTGGAGTATCGACAAAGAGCTAGCTATGGACAGGGGTGCGTGGAAGCTTGTTATCCATGTGCCAGAGCCATGAGTTGGTTGCGAGATCTTATGGGTTTCACCTCTAGCCTACCCCAACTTGCTTGGGACTAAAGGCTTTGTTGTTGTTGGTGGTGGTGAAACACCACCAACGTATGGGAAATCTGCCCGACCAGTGCTCATAATCTGGAGTAAAAGGATTTGATTGCAGTTCCTTTTTATATAACATATGGCTGAATATTGTTATAATTCAAGTTTTGTGTGGTCATTTAAGTCAAAGTTGTGCTTCGAGTCTAATTTATCATGTTTTCTAATCGAAAGAGGAACATATGCATGCCCTGTGTTGTTTTGGCAAGGAAATCAATTGTCCATCAGTACTAGCGTGCTATACTTTTGCTTCTAAGAAATTTTCTTTAAATTTATTTGCTAATCTTAGCATCGACGGCCTTGTTCGGTTGGGCATCATGACTGAAAATTCATGATTGTGTGACCAGCATAGTGTTTTCATTTCGGAGTATTTTGGGGCAGCCCCGGTGCATGTAGCTCCCGCTTGCGCAGGGTCTGGGAAAGGGTCCGACCACTTTGGGTCTATTGTACGCAGCCTTTCCCTGCATTTCTGTAAGAGGCTATTTCCAGGACTTGAACCCGTGACCTCATGGTCACAAGGCAGCAGCTTTACCACTGCGCCAAGGCTTCCCTTCAATCTTGTTTGGCAAATATTTGCCTACATCTTCTGCGCGGGGTACATCTATGTATTATGTATATCATCATTCTGCACTTCTGCACAAGCAAATGCTTGTTTACTGCCGAAATGAAAAGGAAGCTGCCTGAATCGTAGCACCATGCTTCGCTTTTGCACACTGCACACAACACAAAAGGCTTCATTACTATATTTTTTTCGAATACGCAGAGCTTGTGTGTTTCCCCATTAATAGGAGAGTGAAAAATTACAATGGTTGGTGCATCGTGCAGCACATACACGGCATGGGGTGTGCAAGATGGCCCGAGCAGAAAGAAAGGCGTTGCTCCTGAGCAGAAAAGTTATTTTTTTTGTGGCGCCGGCTTGTGTGTTTTCCCATTTCTAAATGCTTCTAAATAGCGTTGCACGACACATTTTTTTGTCTTTTTTGCACACATCACAAAAAAAGTTATTTTCCGCGAAACTTTATGCACGCACATAGAACATGAAGACGTACCAGTGCAACATTTTTCAGATTTTTTTAGCATTTGAAAATGTGTTTTTCAAAGTGGGTTCATATGTACCCGGGTTCATCCATGCACTTCTTGTTGCTCAACCCCAACAATAGGAAAGATTACAGCTCCGGGAGATACTTAATCATTGTTGTGGCGCCGGCTTTGGCCCAAAAACACGCCTCATTGTGGATGTCGTGGACAAGACAAGAGAGGAAGGGTTGCTGCCCATCGAAGATGTGTCCGTCACGATGTCTCCAAATGGTCCAGGTAGGCCGTGAGCATAATATTGGAGGGGAGACCTCGACGATGCTCGATAGGGGCAAGCGAGCAGGATGGCAGGAAGTCGCCCACCAGTCAAAGAAGCTCATCACCGGGCAAGCCAGCTTGGCCATGGATCGGCAATGCACATCATGCCAGACCCGGCAAGAAGGTGATGCATATCCCCAGGAACCTGATCACATAGCACAAATCACTCTTCATGGGGCGAGCAAGACGGTCCGCCGTCCAACAACTGTCTTGGAAGGCGAGGAAGGTGAACACCTTGATGCGGAGAGGCACCCAAGTCTTCCAAGTGATGCGCTAGCAGGGCTTTGTGATCAAGACTTGAAAGAGGGCAAGACAAACGATTTGGCAAAGTACGTACCGGAATTAGTCCAACGCCATCGAAGCACATCTGGCCCCTCGGTAAGCTGGAGCCTGGAGGGGGTGAAGATGCCGCCAAAGCGCCACACATTGCACCAAGGCGACATGTCCAAGAGCACCATGAATATCCTGCACCCAGGCATGATCGGTCAACCCTTGGCATATAGTGCGGTCCCCAAGCCTACGCTTAGGAACACGTGCATGGACTAGGGGTGCCATCAGATTTCCCATCAAGCCATGCATAAGTACAGAAGCGGCAAGAGTTGTCGTCCCTCGGCGACCATGGAAGCCGAAGCCCTGAAGATCCGGAGAGCCTTCGCATCAGTGGAAAGTAGGGGGTGGTGAACAGTAACATGGAAAAATAGTAATTTTTTTCAAAAAGTTCTGATTTTTTGTGTGAATGTTAGTGTTAGTGTCGCAAGTATGCTTGACAATTTTCATGCGAAGCGAAGCAACAATGTTTAATCGGTGAAAAAAATTTAGGGCGACATCTGGGGGTAAAATTTGGTGTTCATTGTTTTTTTTTTTTGCACAGGCCAAAATATTTGATATTTTTTCTCAAAAATTTACAGGTAGCATTTAGATGTGACTCACAACACATAAATCCTTTATCTTGATCCTTTTTGGACATTCTAAAAATCATTTTTGGGCCCATATTGAATTTCAGTGTCACTACTCGTTTCACATAATATTTTCAGAAGCCCTCATTTTGGGCCCATATTTCCAACAATCAAGCCCAGCTCAAAGGAACAAAGCATCCGCAGCCTTCCGGTGAAGTTTTTCAAACGCAACCCCGATCCTCAAGGTAAAAGCACGGCAGACCCAGGAACTTATCGGGCGTGTGATGTTTTGGCCCACAAACTTGTAAAACCTCACTCCGCCACCCACAAACTTGCAGCCGACGTGCAAAAAAACCCAAAGCCAGTCCTGACGCGACATCTAGCGGAGGCGGGGCTGAGGCGGTCGTCGCCCGTGTTTGCAGAAACCCCCTAGGCTTAACAGTAATAAACCCGCACCCCACATCTCTCGTTCCCCATTCCAGCTGCAGCCAAATCCCTAGTAATGAACTTTGGGCGTCGTCTCTATCGTGCCGCCCGTACTACTGTCAGCAAGAAGAGCCACGCAGCGACATCCTCGAGGCCAATGGCAGCTTCCCACAAGTGGCTGCTCCCCTCCGTCGGGCTGCAGAAGCAGAGTGCGCAGCCAGAGAGCGAGCAAGGGCAGCGACAAGTTCCTAGGCCTGTTGTGCTCCTGCTGTTGGGCGATACAGAGGGAGAGACACTAGGGATTTGGCTGACGCGGGAATGGGGAACGAGAGAGATGTGGGGTGCGGGTTTATTATTGTTAAGCCCAAGGGGGTTTCTGCAAAAGCAGGCAACGACCGCCTCGGCTCCGCCTCTGCCAGATGTCGTGTCAGGATTGGCTTTGGGTTATTTTGCAAATCAGCTGCAAGTTGGTGGGTGGCGAAGTGGGGTTCTGCAAGTTTGTGGGCTGAAACATCACGCGCCTGACAAGTTCGTAGGCCTGCTGTGCTTTTACCTCCCGATCCTCCCCTGCTTCATTCCTCCGGACCCGCCCCGCTGCGGTGCGGGTCTGAGATATGCGGCGGCGCGAGCCTCCTCCGCCACTGCCGGCGGCCGGCGGCCCTATGACCCGAAGAAGAAAGTTGGCGGAATCTGAACCGCCGGCCGAAGACACCATCAGCGACCTCCCCGACGCCGTCCTCGGCGAGATCATCTCGCTCCTCCCCACCAAGGACGGCGCCCGCACCCAGATCCTCGCGTCCCGGTGGCGCCACCTCTGGCGCTCCGCCCCTCTCAACCTCGACTGCCGCGGCCTCAACCACGGGGATGAGCTCGCTGGTGCCTTATCACGCATCATTTCTTCCCACCAAGGCCCCTGCCGCCGCCTCTGCATCCACGCCGACCTCCTTGACGCCCCATCCACTACCGTGGACTCCTTGCTCCGGTCCGACGCTCTGGGCAACCTCCAGGAGCTTGAGTTCTCATGCTTCGAGCGGCCGCCGCCGGCATCAATCTTCCGATTCTCGCCCACCCTCCGTGTTGTCACCATCGGATGTTCCAACCTCCCCGACAGCACCGTCCAAGGGATTCACTTTCCCCTGCTTCAGCAGCTCGGGCTTGAATTTGTCTGCATCTCCGAGTGCTCGCTGCATAGCCTGATTGCCAGCTGCCCCGTCCTGGAGTCCCTTCTGATTCACCGCA